CATTGATCTAAATCTCACATACATTTTAGACAACACTTTAATAAGAACAACACTTTAATGACTACAGAATTTGATGACTACAGAATTTGTGACTTATTATATAGATAAGAACAGCACTTTAATCACATATACAAACTTTGTGACTTATTATATAGATAAGAACAACACTTTAATGACTACAGAATTTGATGAGTTATTAACACTTTGATGCCTTAAACTCTGCCTTTCAATAGATAACAAACTAAAAAATAGGAAAAAAAACAGCAGCCAAAGTGATTAACACAAAATAAACAGTTGCCAATAAGCAAGATGAACTAACCCAGCCGGAGTGATGAACTAACCCAGCAGCCGATAAACTAACCCAGTGCCAAAGTGAAACAGTTTTCGATAAACTAACCCAGTGCCAAAGTGATGAACTAACCCAGCAGCCGAAGTGATGTCGAGCCGGAGTGAACAACGGTGAGAGTGGAACGGTGTAAGCTCTGATGAAGGCTGTGATGAAGACTGTGATGAAGGCTGTGATGAAGGCAAAAGCTGAGATTTTAAAAAAAATCAAGAAGAAGAACGGAGAGGAATAGAGAGATAGAGAGGGTAAGCAGAGAAATAGAGAGGGAAGGTGGGTAGACAGAGGTTGTGATGATGGGAAGACAGAGGTTAGATACTGAGAGAGAAGAGTGGAGAAACAGCCATGTTGGGCGGGAAACAAAAATGTGGAGAAACAGCTATGATCTCAGCCATTGGATAGATATTACAATTGATCTCAGCCATGGGATCAAAATGTATCTCACATACATTTGAAGACATTTTCAAAATCCCTCTTGCCTTATTATATAGATATATATATATATATATATGTAACTCAATCTATATATCTGAAGAGAAGGTGTGGTGATGAGTTTATAATAATCTCGTTAATCTGATAATTTCTGAGGACGATTTTATAATCCATTCCCAGCACACTGAGCGCCTTCTCATATATTCCATTTCTTATGAACACCTCTAATCTTGGCTGGTCTTGTATTTTTAGTTTTCATCATGGCCCCCATTGACTATTAAGAACATTCAAAGTTCTGAAACTGTAATTTTGTCTTGAGTAATACATTACCTAATAGTTTTCCATCTCTAATTTCTACTGACCTTTAGTTGTGTGTAATACTGCACCATCTACCTATTCCTCTTCCTGGTTGTGTTGTCATTTGGACTTTAGTTTGTATTTATTTCAAATTCTCATAGAACTAGCTTGTATGTTGGGTATTGCATGTGTTGTTCTTGAAATATGCTCTATTCTGCATAATTCATAAAGTTTTAGATGGTTAGTTTTTTCATGTGCTTTTGTTAATGTGATTATTTATTTTGTCTCTGTATTTCTAGATCTTATTGTGTGTTGTAAATTATGTTTATATTTTAGATACACCCCGTTGCATAATTACAACCCTATTAATGAACTTCATCAACTGATGGTGTTTTCATCATGATTTGTAATTGTTGAATGTCCCTTCTATTTACTTAGATTGTTGCTCAGTGAATGTTTTTAGATGTTTGGGTTCCTAAATATAATTATCTAACACTAGATTTAGTGGATTTTAATGACTGTTGCCTCTTGGTTCTTTTTATGTAGTAGTTTCATAGCAAAGCTGACTTGTGTTTTGTTTTTTTTTTTTTGTTTTGTTTTGTTTTTTTTTTATGTGATTGAGCATTTTGTTAAAATGCTTTTTCCTTTAACCTGATGCTGCTATGGATCAAGGATTGGATATTCAAATTGTGAACAATCTTTTGCTACACTATGTGAGACTTGGAGTTTTATTTTTTATATTGATATGCAATTCATGGTTGATCTGGCTCTTTGTTTTTAAAATCAACGACCTGATGTGCTTTTAATTTTTTCCTTGGATTTGTGAAATTACATGAAGGGCATACAAGTCTTTTTCATGCCCAAGTGTATGCATATGACCTTGTCATGACCCGAATCCGCCCCTAAAAATTTAGGTCATAACCGGCTAGTAATTCGTGGATTATTGAAGGCCTCAAACGAACATACAAAATATTTATGTTAATGGGGCCATAACGGAAGCATATGATGAGAAGGAGTCCATTGGGTTGTGCCAATCATGAGCAAGATCATAAAGATAACCATGTAGCACATTAATACATTTAACAACCCAACAAAAGTACAGGAGCCAAAGGTTCAATTTTACATAGTGTTTACAACCCAAGACCATGAAAGCAAAAACAAAATAAGATCAATGTGTGGTGTGAGTCAAGACAAAACTCCATCTTGGAGGTAGACTCGATTGGGTCTCAAAAAGAATAGCTCCTGAAGCTGATTCTAGGGTTGTGCTCCATGATGCGGATTATCTACAGGTGCATACATAATATTGGGTGAGCGAAACTCAATGAGTAATAATACAGTAAACAACGTAATAATTATAAGATTCTCATAATATCCATAATCGTGTAATCAAAACGACCTCGGGCCCAATTTGCACATATCAAAACGGCCTTGGGCCCAACATTTATGTATGTATGGACCCAAGAGGTGACTCGTACGGACTCTAGAGGTGACTCCCACTGTAGTACTTAGTTTCGTACAACACTTTGTTCCATACCAGAAATCAATAGGTTTTAAAAACTGAACAATTCATATTATGTCATAGCATAAATGAAACGGATAAACGAAATGACTTTGGGCCCACCATATCATATTACAAACAATTCACATTTCTTGTTTATAACTCATTTCACATTTCTTGGAAACTTGTGCATTTTGACAAAATACAATATTAGAAGATCATGTTGCACATAAATCAAAATACATTATGAAAAACATATCTTTACTATACTATTACTCACAGTGATTTCCAGAAATGGTTGACCGGTCCTCGAATCAGGACCTACAAACACAATGTGCATGACACAGCATATCGGAACATAGAATTACTCTCTTGATCAAATCTACTTCTCTTAATCTTTTCTTAACCAGATAAATCAATCCCTTGCTTTGCTCCTTAACCAATTATTTTTTTTGGTTCTAAACTCATTAGTCCTCAGTGGGTCATAATTTGTGTCTAGGAAAATAAGAAGAAACGAAAGGAAACTGGGTTAGGAGAGGAAATAGCATGAAACGGTTAGAAAAAAAAGTGAACAGTCTTCACTAATTTGAACATGTCTATTTGTATATTTAGAATTTGGATGTAAGACTACCCATTGGAAACTAGACTTCCGGGGCTTGAATTTAGGCTCAAGAATCGCTTAAAACAGAGTCCGGATGAAGAAGATATGCCTTTTTGAAGTTGGGATGAAATAGGGGTTTCGCACGTACGGCCCAAATTTGCTCGAGCGGAAACACCGGCCGCTCGAGCGCCCAAGGAGCAGAATCAAAACCTTTTTTTTCCTTCATGTTTTGCTTGTGCGGAGCCCGTGGCCGCTCGTGCGGTCTGGGCAAACTCAGACAGCTTGAAAATTCATCAAAGATTGAGTTTTCAACCCAATTTCAAGCCAAGATTTCATGTAATCTTCTTTTAAAAGATGAAATACTAACCTTACACAAGTGTAATCACAACTCAAACACATCAATCTTGCTTAGAGTTTAAAAATCAAAAGCTCATCTTTCATAATCTTAAGAGTTTCAAAACATAACCTCACAAATGCATTTGTACATGGAAGATCCTTGCATAAATCTTGTTGTATGGACAATCTAGAGTTCATTTCATACATTATTCACAAGATTGAACTCAAATCATGCAAAATCAAAACATTCGAGTCCCAATTTCTTAGTTTAGCTCAAATAAACACATAACTCAAAACCTTAACTCAAAAGGGTTTCAAATCTTCAAATCTCTATATGTTTTCAAGCAATAGATGAGTTGTATACAAGAATTCCAAGTAAATTTTCATACCTTAGCTCAAATCTAGGGTTTGCCCATTGTATCTCCACCAAATCTCTAGCTTCTCCTCTTCTCTCTCTAACTCACCCTCTAGCAAAACTTTCCCAAAAATGATGAACTCAAGAACTAGAGAGATATATATAATATAGGCTAATTAAAATATTACGAATCGTAAATTTACAAAATTTCACCGTAGACTCTAAAAATCATGCTAATCACATATATGAAGTCGGTTTTGGTTTATCGCACCTCTAAGACTTTTAATTTTCAGTTCAAAGTTCTAATTGTAACAAATTTTCCTACATTCAACAGATATAAAATCCAAAATCACATAATTCACATACTTAACTTGCAAATTCATATTAAACACATAAACACGTGTATAATTAAGCATAATAGGGGTTGGGTAATTGTATTTTAAAATTGAGTTTTTTTATTTTTTATTTTTTTTAAAAAAATATTTTTACTGAATTTTTTTAATATTTTAAACAATTTTTTTTTTATTTTTTATATACATTTAATCTAGATATACTTAAAAAGTATAATATTTTGTGATTTTTGATTTTTTTAATTCACCAAATACAAAAAAATAAAAAAAATTAAATATAATATCTTATTTTGTTGTATTCAATGGATTTTTTAAAAAAAAATTTATACAAATTTTATATTTTTTAAATATATGTAGATTAAATGATCTAATCTAGAAATAAAAATGAAAATTTTAGATTAGGAAGGGGAATGTAATTTTTCAAATGTGAGGGAGGTAATTGTATTAATCAGAAATCTAGGGTGTCAGTATAATTTACCCTTAAACAAAAATAGAACACATATTTTGGTTTGGAGCAAGCCCATTTACAAAAAAAGAAAAAAGAAAAGAAAAAAAAAGCACATAATTTGTACATATATATCAGCCCTAGAATCTGTAGCAACAACTTATATCAGCCCGAGTCACCACCTTAGTTTAGGGCCAGCTATTCGTTGAGTGTTATATCGGCCCAAATCCGATGGACGAGTCAAAATACGGCCTTAGTGTTCTTTAATTTTTCACCTTTTCTCAAGTTGTATCTATATCTTATTTAGTGTAATTAGAAAACTAATGCTTGTGAAATTCAGGTCTGCCATCAAACCTGCTCAGTGCATTTAACTATTTGGTGAATTTATTCTTTCAACTCCTTTGCGCAGGGAGGAACTGCTCCACTTGTTTATTTGTATAGGATATTTAGCATAGATTGATTTATAGTTGAATTCAAGGCCCTTAATTGAGCTGGTTGACAAAAATAGGATTCTTGTAGCCAGCCCCAAGTAGTTGGGACGAGGCTTTATTTTGTTGAGTTGAGTTAGAGTTCTAGATCGATGTAGACATGAGGTTCTTTGAAATCTCATTGTGACCCATTCTTTTGAAATTGTTTGTAATTATATGGCCCCAGAATTTGACCTTTTGAATCAATGATATGACATTGTTTGTGCTGTTGATGCCTTATCTAACAATATTGTTGTGTGGACTATTTCTTGCCAAATTCAAGTTGGCGATGCGCAGTCGATTCAATAATCTGGTGAGCTTATCCTTTGAGTTCATCTCTGTTGCTAACAGTTAAGTTGAAATTGATTAATTGCTTGTGATGTTTGTTTGCCTCCATGAGTAGAAGGATTGGACTATGAGTGAGGTGGACCCTACTCGTAACATGTTTGGTTAGAAAAGTTATAAGGGGATTAACACTACAATAGGAGTAGTAGTCCACCACTATGGGTGGATTAGCAAAGATGGGTGAGAGGTGGGATTGATGGTGAAAAAAAAACCATTTTGTCCCTTAGTTTAAATGATACTACAATGAAAGAAGGGTAATTATGTAATTTGATATGTTTATTCCCAATCAATTAATACCACCACACTACTACAAAAACACACTTTATTATCTTATATTTCTAATTTAATACCACTACATTATTAATCTCCTCACTCAATTTCACCGCACTCATAATTCTATCTAATCTAATCTAATCTATCAAAATAATGTGGCTAGGAATTTTTAATCCATTGATTGATTTTTCATATATATATATATAGCCTTCGTTTGGGATGTAGGTTGGCTTTTTGACTTCTTGACTTTTTGGCTATTTTAGCTTAGGGCTAAAAAGCCTCGTTTGGGATGTGTTTTTTGGTTTTTTTTGACTTTTATGAGAGAAAAAATTAAATAATTATGGTTTAGATGTAACATTTTATCTTATTGACTTTTTAATTTATTTTATCTTTTTGTGATTAAAATAATTCTGACCCAACCCAAACCTTCGTGCCAACCAATGCAATGTCTTGTGTGGTCACTACTTTCTACAAAATAGCAGAACGAGAATGACATCAAGGGACTCAAAAACATTCTATGAATATGTTGATATTCTGCTGGTTAGGTTTGGCGCTTAGTGAGAGAGGGGTAGCGTTAAATACAGTTATCCGCTATCTAATACACTTACTAAGAGAGGGGTAGTGTTAAATACAATTCTTTGCTATCTAATGCTGGAGTCCGGATCCTCTGCCTGTTTTCCTGCGGCGCTTCCCTACCATGGTCCCAATGACGTCGTTTTGACGTTTCCCCCCCTCCCCATTTTTGTTGAGAGCTAAGCCATACACCACAACAACGGTGATGAAGCGAGGCCACGGAGAATCAAAAAAAAAAATCTTTTGAAAGTAAGAAAAAGACCATTGAAGCTGTTGAGTGATGATTTACTTGTTGGGTTTCCCTTGTTTTCTTCTCCCTAAGCTCTCAAACATCTCTAAATTCTGGTTTATTTGTGTGAATTTTAAAGCTTCGTTCTTCCCTTTTCAAAACATTGTTTCAATCAACAATCTCTTTGGTTCCAGCGAAGCTTGATCGCCACTGCGAGACACAGCGACAAACTGATCTATAAATTATAGATCTGTGAGACAAACCGATCTGAGAGACGGCGTCGATGCAAGTGGAGCTCAGATATTGGAGATTTGACGCGGCGGAGATCTTGAAGCGGCTGTGAATCAAACGACCCCCATTTACTCTATTGTTCTATTCCCTTCTTCTTCTCAATATCCTATATATATAGACTCTGTTGAGTCTTCTAGCTCCATTTGGGACAACAGAGCTCTTCACTGAATCTATGATCTTATATATATATACATATGTAAACATACGCGTGTGTATATATATAGATGATTGGGTTTGAAGGGTTGGTTTGTTTTGTTGAGAAAACTGAAAGGAAATGAGTTCAGGCTTTTACACTTAGTCAAAATGAGTTCAGGCCTTTTCAAATGAGGGAAGAAAATAGGGGCAAAAGGAAATGAGAGAGGAAAATAAAAAACACCAAAATGACGTCATTTTGGACCATGGTAGGGAACCCCCGCAGGAAAACACGGCAAAGGATCCGGACTCTCTAATGCTGTGCAAAGCTCTCTCACGTTACAAGGTAGTTTTTTTTCTTTCCTGAGCCATATTCTCGTTCTCTATATAGGTTTGTTTTTTTGTTTTTCTATTTTGTCTGGTAGTACCTTACCGAGTCTACGACATCTAATTTTGTAATTGGTTTGATTAAATATATCAAACTACAAAGACAAATCCCAACGGGCAATTTATGAGGTGTAATTTTTAGAAGAAAAAAAATATATATATAAGGGGTATCTTGGTGCTAAAAATAATTAGGGTAAATTAGACTTACCGTTTGAAGAAAATACAGTTAGTGATTGGAATTAAGATAGATATTGTATAAATATTTATCATCTTTTTTTTTTTTATTTATATGACTAACAAATTACTGATAAAAAAAAAAACACTTAACTATTATGTGTCTAAGGATATTTAGCGTAATTATGTCAAAAATATTAAACTAACTGTATTTTTTTTTAAACATCATAGGAAGTGAGTGTAATTTTACCCAAACTAAAATCAGAAAATTGCAAATCAAGTGGGGTTTTAAAAAATAATTACATGCTATTGGAAAAGTTTATAATTTTAATAATTAAAATTTGAAAATTTTATCATTAATATGTAATTCTTTTCGCCACCATCCACTGATGGGCTATTTCCCCAACTAAAATTATGTACGTAAAACATAGACATAGCTCATAATAGAAACATTGAGATTACTTCATTAAAAATTTAAGAATAATTACTAGTAGATCCTATTGAGCGAGCTTATTTACTCATAAGTCACGATTAATTAATTAATTAATTTATTTATTTATCCCTTGTTTTGATAATATAAAATTTTAAGACTTTTTAGATGCATTTTATTTTTGAAGAGTAACTATTTGGTATTGATAATCACACTATTAAATTTATTAAAATGATAAATAATTGGGATATCTTGGCTTTGGCTTTTGTTAATTAGTTTTGATTTATTTTTAATTTATTTGAATTAGTTTGCTTTTGTTTTTTTGATTAATCTTTATTCTAAGCAAATTGTTTCATTCTCTATTGAAATTCTAGTAATTGGAATTTGGATGTAGCAACATAATCCCATAAGTATGGTTTGAGATGCAAGCGTGCTATGGATTTTTTTTGTTTTATACTTTTCCTAGCCGACAAGGGTAATTTGTTAGCGTAGTGCTTTTGGAGAAATTTGTAACAATCCCAACCCATGATTAGCGCTAACCCATGATTAATTATGCTTAATAAGTAATTAAGACGAAATTCTGAATTAAATTGCATGTGTGTGTTGCATTATTTCCATAAGTATGGTTTGAGATGCAAGCGTACTATGGATTTTTTTTTGTTTTATACTTTTGCTAGCCGACAAGGGTAATTTGTTAGCGTAGTGCTTTTGGAGAAATTTGTAACAATCCCAACCCATGATTAGCGCTAACCCATGATTAATTATGCTTAATAAGTAATTAAGACAAAATTCTGAATTAAATTGCATGTGTGTGTTGCATTATTTGTGTCTATATCTGTTGTTGTAGGAAGATCTGTTTATGTTTATGCTTTGTTCTGTGAATCGAAGGCCTTACCGGCATCTGTTTCAGAAATTGACTTGACTTATGTGTTAATTGGGATTTTTAGAATTTTTTGGTAGGTTTAATTGAAATTCGATTTGGAATGATTTAAACAGATTAAATTGAAGCCCATGTGTTTAACATTAATTACTTATCTTTAGGCAAGCCTACATAAGGCACCTTTTTGGCCTCCACTCATCCATTTTTCTACTCCATTCAACACATTCTTGAGCTTCACACACATAAACGTGAGAGAAGGTGAAGCTAAGGAATTGAGATCAAACTTGAGGGAGAGAAGGCCATTGCTTGGATTCAAGGAATTGCTCAAGATTTTGCTTAAGTAAAGCTCAATTGAGTAGCCTAGGTAAGAGCCCAACCTTTCAATCTTGAAATTAAGCCATTTAGTATTTGAATACTAATGAAATAGGTGAATTCATGAGGGTTTTGAGCTAGAATTTAAGGAAGCTAAGTCAATTCATGCATGCATGTCCATATCATGGAGTTTGAAGTTGTTTTCATGAGAATTCTCACATGCATGTTCATTTCTTTACAAATTGAGCATGATTTCAAAGAATTCTTTCATGCATGTGTTCATCTCACTTATATTTTGGGAATTCGCCATGTTTTCTATCAATTTGCCAAATTCGATCATGTTTTGAAGTGAGTGAGTACAAGAGAGTTCATGCATGTTTTGTTCTTGAATATTCATAAAGTTTAAGTTGAAATTTTGTACAATTGGCATGTCATTGGACCATGATTTCTTGAAATGATCCTTAAAACAGGTTGTTTTATGAGTTTCTATGAGTTTCCTAAAGTTTTGGCCGCAAAATGTTGAGTTTTGAAGTGTTTGGTTTGAGTTTGAAACTTTGAGATCAAATCTAGAATTTCCAGAATTTGCATCCACTCTTGAGCGTAGGAGTTCACGCTCGAGCGTGAAATGCATGTATCCAGAAGTTCATATGTTTTGCAGCACGCTTGAGCGACATAAGTCACGCTCGAGCGAGGGTCTGAGTCTCGCACTCGAGCGTGGATTGAGCGTCCGTCGAGCGTAAAAAACAAGCAACTAGTACTTTTTCCAAAGTTTACAGTCCACTCGAGCGAGGAAAGCCACGCTCGAGCGTGGACCCTGTTTTCAGCAAGTTTTGGAAAATGTTTTCAAATACATTTTTGTATCCTCATTCCATCCTAGGCATTCTTAGGCCATGATTAAGACTCCAAAATGAGGTTAAAGGCTAGAAACTTGCTCAGAACAATAAAGTAAGTTATGTACAATTCGAACGTGTGTTTCAGGTGCGTGTTTGTCATGTGTTCATGTAGGTCACGTGCCGTAGACCATCCGATTAGTCTGCTCTGTCTATCTGCACTCGAAGCCAACAGTGAGTAATAACTTTGTAAAGTTATATTCAACTTTATTTATTTTCTGTATGATGAATTAAGATCTGTTTTCTGAAATGATATGTTCTGTACAATGAATGATTGTCCAATTTCTGACAACGTATTCGCGGCATCCTTAGCATCATGTGATATCTATTAGCTGTTACCTGGTATCGGAGGTTCTATTATGGAACTTTATATGTCTGCACTTTGTTACTCGTACCGGAGGCTCCATGAGGGGGCTCAGCATGTTTATTCTTTGTTACTCGGATCCGGAGGTTCCTTTATGGAACTGGTAATTCATAACCACCATATGTTCTGCATCTGTTCTGTTAGCGCTAATGGATGTACCATGTATGATTAAGCATGAATTATGATTTCTGTATGTTATCTGAACAAGAATACGAATACGAATATGAATTATGATTTCTGAATCTGTATGGATTTCATTCATTAAAATCCTTTACTCCGTTATTATTCATTGGGCTTCCGCTCACTATTTATATTATGTATGTAGGTGAGCAAGCACATGACCAGGCCCAGAGTTGACGGCCTATGTTCTAGTTTTTGTCAACTAACCTTTGCACCTCTCGAGGAGGTTCTGGATGAAGTCAAGTTTTGTGGCTATTTTTTTGTAATCATATTAGACTATGTTTGTGTGTTAAGTTGTGGGCAAGATTTTTGGCATGTACGCCTAAGTGTGGTATGTAAATATTATACATTTTGACTTCACTTGTAAGTTTATAAAATGTTTAAGCTATTATGTCCCATATATGTCATAACAGCTCATTGGACCTCGTATATTTTGTATATTTGCTTCCGCAGTCCCTAACTATATGTTAATCTGTCAAGAGGCCTTTGGTAAACCAAGGATTACTGGCCGGTTACGATGCTAAACCCATAGGGGCGGGTTTGGGTTGTGACAAAATTGTTGCACATAGAATTGATTTGGGTTAAGTAGCTTCTTCAACAAGGTGCAAACATTTGTTGACATTGGGAATTTGAAGATGTGGCATTGATCATTCACGAGTGTGGTATGGAGAAAAGATAGTGAAATTAATATCCTTATTTACTGATCTTTGATGTTGACAAGTTGCCAATGTTTGTGGATCATTTATTTATATTTGAAAGTGATTTTATTTGACCAAATCTCTGGTGCCTGGAGCTTGTCTGGAAGAGTATGGACTAGCTCATAACTTGTTTGTGTGTGGGGTTTTTTAATACAGTGTTTCTTATGATTAAGGGCTATTTTGGGAAGATGGTTAAAAGCTGTTTTTTGTGAGAGAGGGAAGTGGGTTATAATCTGGGAAGTGGATTCTAACCCACTTCCCAAAAGGCCCCTAAGTCATTCTAATATGCTGAATAATCCAGTAGTTTTCAATAATTCCTTTCATTAAAGTTGTATTTTTCTAGCAGACTTTGTTACATATTCTTGACTAGTGGGGCAGTTGTAGGACTAAAGCATGAGTATTGAATCAGGGGAATTGGAGCTTGATAATCAGTGAGTAATATGTTGTAGTCAAAGTTTCTTCTTGGTAGTTTCTTTCTGCAGCTGATGTCTCCAATGACCAGATTAGTTTTTAGTTGTTTAATTTGGAACCAAATAAGACATGGTCTCCTGGTGGCATCATGTTCTCATTTTCTATTGGAAAAATATGATGTGTTCCAGAAGGAAAAAGTACAATAAAAGAGTAGGGGACTTCTTGAAGAAAGAGGATAGTTTGTCAAGGGGAAAATAATAGTGGTACAAAGATTGGTGGGGGTGGGAGAGAAACAAATATTGAAGTTATTGTGATGTTTGATAGTAACATTTATGTCATGAAAGATAAAAGAATGGCGTTTGGAGAAGATTATTTTAATTGTTCTGAAAAATGTAATAGATATGCTAGGATTTGCGCATGAACAGTAATCTTGCTGTAATAAATTAATTATGATGGAAATTTCCACCTTACAATTTTTGTGGTATTGTGTTTTAGGGCAAATGGATTGTAAGGTTGTTGTAATTAATTGCAACCCATTTTTCTTTATTTTTCTGTAGGTGAATATCATTGCCCAATATTGAACAAATTTTTTACTGAATTTACACACATTGTTATTGTAAGGACTACAAGAAATATTTTCTGCTACGTGGTTTGTTTGCTTATTTATTGATCATCAATGCTAGTGGTCTTTCCTCCTAAGTTCTTTATGTGTAATTTCTATGTAAGTGATCTACACCTCTTCCATTTACCTTTGTTTCATAGGCAATCAAAGAATTAAACATCAAAACCAAGAATTGGGAGCTTCTCACTGATGAAACATTCACTAGAGAAGATCTTATAACAATTCAGGTAATTAGTAGCTTTGGCATGTGGTCTTCTAGTTGGCTGCTATGTTACATGAACTCTTCTAATTTTGTGAAGTACTCATGTTGGACATTCGACAATTGGAAAGGGTATGAGATATGTGTTTGATATACTTAGTTGTACATGTTGGACATCCACTGATTCCACCCAACAAGTATATATAAATAGTTGAATTTACTATATAACTTTGCATAAGATTTCAATTTAATACATGAATTGCTCTATTTTAATTTATAAACATTATTTTGTCCTTAAAATTAGTATTTAAGAAATTTAGCCATGTGCTGTTGTCTTTTGTTATATTAATCCAACACTTAGACACATATTGACACTCGACACCTGTTTTCGAGTCCATGTAACATACTTGGTTGCGTTGAATACTTGTACTTAACTTTTCACTACGAGTTTTCATGACGCTATCCTTGCAGAATCCTAATGCACTTGATAGGAGGGTGGGTTCTCGTGGATTTTGATCATGTAAAAAATAGTTTGAAACTCGATGATGTAGGTGAGTCTTTTTCTTTTATTGGTTATACAACTATATTTTCTTTTTATTCTTTTCTTTTTATTTTTAAAATCGCCTCTCATGATCATATTTTTTGTTTTCTTTGTGCTAGAATTGATGAAAATGAGCTCAGATCCAACCTATAACATAAATGTTTCTGGGGATATCAGATAGATGCTGAAGGAGCTTGGAACTGAGATAGGAAAAGAAATTGCATTGCATGAGGGAGAAGGAAACAAGGCACAAAAAAGTACCAATATGTATGCCTGCTGTCTCCTAAAAGATGTGCCCATAATTCTCTGGTAGATAGTTCCAATTGCTACCTTGTTTGTCATCTTTTGGAGGTAGACACGTGACGGTCTTCTCTACTATTGTTTCTTTGCAGGAAGAAGAAGATGAGCCAGTGAAAGCAAAAGATGAGAATAATGCTGGTGATGAAGAGAATTTTAGTTTCAGTCCCTTTGATTTCAGATTAATAGAAACTTTAAGCTTCTTTTTTTTTTCCTCCTTGAAAATAATCACGTTTTCTCATTTGTTACATTTCAGGACAAGATTGGGTCATGGTACAGCAATGCAGGAAAAGGAGCAAGTGAATCTGGATCTGTAGGTGGTGGTGTTGGCAAGTACTTGAAGGTGAGAAATGTACAGGCTGAATCTGCTGCTACTGACTGATATGCAGGCAACTGCTGTAGCAAAGAAAAAGAAATTAGGTGTAGCAATGAGGGAATGTAAAGACTTTTCTTCTTGGTAAGGTTTTCCCACGTTGTTTACCATATTTCAGACTTGAACGTGACCTAGAGGTGGTGTAGCCTAGCAGTGAAACATGATCGTTTGAGTGAGAAAAAGGAAAAGAAAGAGAGATTTGGAATTACTCTGTTCATTACATTTGTATTTGTTGGTTGTACAATACCATGCATCCAGTCAGAAATTCTATTAGAAATTTTTATGAGAAAATACAGATTTTTTTTTCTCCTCTCATTAAGAGGTTAATGGTATAAGTACAATTTTCCATGCATATTTTCTTCATTTTTTATTTTCTTTTGCTTTGTGTTTGTACCTAGATCACCCTCACATGTGGCAGGCCCCACATGCACCATGTTACCCCTACCTAAGAGATGTAGTCTCCACGTGGCTAGCCCTCAGAGGTGCCACATCGCCTAATTAGATTATTGGGGTCATATGTGCCTAGCCTAAGCAGAGGCATAACCAATGCACCAGGTGGACGAGTCAAAATATGTGGAATCCCAAGGCTTGGACTAGAGCATCGCTTGGCTACCCTTGTTCGGTTATGTGGCTTGACCCTTCCATTGGCTCAACCAAGCGGCCTTTTGCCGGGTCACGATACTCTAATCCCCTAGCACATGGTCAAGTGTTAAGGTCTTATCCAAGGGTCAACACCTTGATACCACGCTCATTTGTGCCCTTTGGAGAGCCAAAAACATGCCTAAGAAGTTGTTGGTGCAAGTGCAAGCTAAGGCCCAAGGCATGGTGAGAGAAGGCCCATGGCATGCCATGATGCAGCCCATGTCAACAACCAGCCAGCAGCAACTTTAGGCTAATTTTTGGAGGGTCAAATGTAGTCTTTTTGCCTTGTAAATTTTTATGTAAATACCTTAGTATTAAAGGTGTTTTGGGTCCAAGTATTATAATTTTTCTCTTTTTGTAGAATTTTTAAAAATCCGTTATGACTCCTCAAACATAGTGGATGTTTCCTCTTGCCAACTAGGAAATGGCTTAACAAACTATATTAAGGAGGGGGTACCCAAGTGTTGAACCAAACCACTTGTGCCTTTGAAGTACCCCAACCTAGCCAATGGTAAGACAACTCTTGCAGCACTTTTGGTGCGTTGTTCAACTATTGTAATGCCTTTTTTTGATCAATGAAAAGTTCATTTCACTTTTAAATTGTGCAAAGTTTTTCTAGTGTTGCGTGCTTTAAATTTAGCTTGTTGCTTACTAATTTGTGGCTTGTCTCCAACCTAGTGGCTCATAGACTAACTTATATTGTGGTTGCTTGTCTTTGTAAACACTTTGAGCTTTATTGGTGGGCTAGTGAAGAGAGTTAACTAGCGCTACACACACTTGCTTATCTCTTGACAAGGCTTCTGCATAGCCGATGTGCGATAGTTGGTATCAGAGCCCAGTCTATTTGGCTTTCTCTATTCTTGGCTTTCTAAATGGATGCTCCTGGCGACCATCAACCCACGCAAAGGGAGAGAATTGAGCTCTTGGAACAGTGTATGATTAGCCAACCTTGAGCAACGGGTTCATGATCTTGAGTTGAGCTCTTGGAGCAGTGTATGGACAATATGGATACCTTGGGAGGTTCATTAGCCAACCTTGAGCCACGAGTTCATGATCTTGAGCAAACTCATGGCCTTACTCAAGGGCAAGATTGGGAGGATGTTGTCACTGAACTCAAGCTAGAGATTGAAGATCTTAGTGGCTGGGTTGGTGTTCTTACCCGTGCCTTTGGCACCGCACCTGGTGGTGGCATGGAATTCCCTAGGATGTGTGTGCCTGAGCCTCGTACCTACTGTGGCACCCGAGATGCCAAGGAGTTAGACAACTTTCTCTTTGATATGGAGCAATATTTCAAAACTGTGAAAGCCGAAGTTGGGGAGACAAGGATTTCTATGGCCACAATGTATTCGTTCGATGATGTCAAGTTGTGGTGGCGGACTAAACATGATGAGATGCAACGTGACTTATGCACAATTGAGACTTAGGAGCAGCTTAAGCACGAACTTAAGCTCCAATTCTTCCCTGAAAATGTTGAGTATAATTCCCAGCGTGCTTTGCGGGATCTCAAGCACACTGGCACTATAAGAGATTATGTGAAACAATTCTTTGGGCTTATGCTAGACATCAAAGACATGTTAGAGAATGACAAGCTCTTATTCTTTCTTGAGGGATTGAAGCCATGGGCAAGAGTTGAACTCCAAAGGTAAAAAGTACAAGATTTAGCCCATGCATAAGCAGTAGTTGAGTGCCTTACAGACTACGCTGAACCTAAGCAACGGGACAGTGGTTCCTCGTGCAAGAATAAGGGAGGTGGAAAGTCCCAAGGCCATGACAAACCTAAGAGTGGGGGAGCCAACACTTCTATATCCAAAACCCATTCGGGTGGAGGACAATGGCAACAAGAGAGTTATGGTGACAAGGCAAAAGCCCCTCAACAGTTTTCTACAAGCAAAGCAAAAGGCCCTATCTCTTGTTTCTTATGCAATGGGCCACATCAGTTATCTAAATGTCCACAAAAGCGTACCTTGAATGCTCTAGCAGTGGTGCCTGACCATGTCTCTCAACCAAGTGACAATGATAGCGAGGAAGAAGACGTGCAGTCTAGGCGAAGTGGCAAGGGTTTTAAAGCAGCTGGCTCTAGAGTGGAAGCCTTTCATATGATGAATACGATGGAGAAGAAGGCTTCTACAAGGAGGCCTAAGAAGAATGGCAAGAATGACAAAGTGGGCAAGCATTCAGATCCTAAACAACTTGTGGAGTCTAAACACGATGGCAAAGGGAAGAAACCCATGTATAGTGGGGAATCATCAGGCAAGTTGAACAAGAAGAAGTCCTCTAACAAAGGTTTGATGTTTATGGATGTAAAGCTCAATGGGAAGCCCCTCCGTGCTTTGATTGACACCAGGGCCACCCATAATTTTGTTGCTGGGACTGAAGTTGAAAGACTTAAGCAATCTTTAGAAAAGGATGCAGCTGCATCAAGGTGGCTAACTCAGCAGCGCAGCCCATCTATGGGGTTGCAAAATCTGTTCATTTGAAGGTCAGCACTTGGGAAGGAAGAGTAAATTTCACTGCAGTACCTATGGATGACTTCCAAGCCATCCTTGGGATGGATTTCTTGAGAAGCACAAAGACGGTAGTCATGCCTTATTCTAATAGTATGTGTGTCATGGGGGATAAGCCATGTCATATTCCTGCTATGGCCACCAACAATAGTGACCGGTTTGCCTCAACTATGCAACTCAAGAGGGGTGTTAGGCATGGTGAACAAACTTAGGTTGCCGCATTGAAGTTGAATAAAGCTCTTGAATCTACTCCTGCCCAGCCGCAGTCAATAAGGTCTTAAGGCAATTTGCAGATGTTATGCCAGAACAACTACCTAAAGAGTAGCCTCTACGCCGAGGTGTGGATCATGCTATTGAGTTGGTGCCAGGAGCAAAGCCACCAGGTCGTGCATTGCATAGAATAGCTATTCCTGAGTTGAATGAATTAAGAAAGCAGCTTACAGAGTTGTTGGAAGTAGGCTTTATTAGGCCATCCAAGGCCCCATTTGGTGCACCTGTTTTGTTCCAAAAGAAGCATGATGGTAGTCTTCGCTTATGTGTGGATTATTGGGCACGCAACAAGCTGACCATTAAGAACAAGTATCCTCTTCCCCTAATTATAGATTCATTTGATCAATTGAGCAAAGCGAGATATTTCACAAAGCTAGATCGTCGATCGGGGTACTATCAAGTAAGAATTTTCGAGGGGGACGAGTCCAAAACTACATGTGTTATGGTTCCTATGAGTTCTTAGTCATGCCATTTGGCTTGACCAATACCCCAGCAACATTTGCACCATGATGAACGGAGTTTTTCAAGTGTACTTAGACCAATTCGTGGTAGTATACTTGGACGACATTGTGATTTATAGCTCCACTTTAGAAGAGCACGTGGAACATCTCAGGAAAGCATTGTCCAAGTTAAGAGAGCACAAGCTTTATGTCAAGCTAGAAAAGTGTTCTTTTGCCCAAGAGAGGATTAAGTTCCTAGGGCACATTGTTGAGCATGGATGCATCCAAATGGACCAAGAGAAGGTCGAGGCTATTCAAGAGTGACAGCCACCTGCTAATGTCTCGGAGTTGCGGTCATTCCTTGGGTTAGCTAATTATTACCGCAAGTTTGTTGAAGGCTACTCAAGACTAGCTTCCTCATTAATAGAGTTGCTAAAGAAGGGCAAGCCATATGTTTGGGCAGAAGAGTGTCAACAAGCCTTTTAAGCCTAGAAAGAAGCTATGTCTAAAGACCCTGTTCTTGCTCTACCTGACTGAGGTAAAGCTTTTGAGATACAAACTGATGCATCTGATTTTGCTTTGGGCGGTGTTCTTTTACAAGATGGTCACCCAATTGCCTATGAGAGTAAGAAGCTCAATGATGCCGAGCGGAGATATCCAGCTCATGAGAAAGAGTTGCTTGTAGTAGTACATTGTCTAAGGACTTGTAGGCACTACATCTTGGGCTCATGGTTTGTTGTAAAGATTGACAACACGGCGGTTAGATATTTCTTAACACAGCCCAACCTAAGCGCACGAAAAGCATGATAGCAAGAGAAGTTGTCAGAGTTTGATTTTGCCTTAGAATACAAGGTTGGTGCCACCAACCATGTTGTTGATGCACTAAATAGGAAGGCAGAGCTTACTGTGTGCCATCATGTATGTTTACTTACTTCCATTTCAACCAGCATCAAGGAGAAAACCAAGGCTCATCTAGACAAGGATGTTATCGCAGAGAATCTTATGAACCTTGTCAAAATGGGCAAGACTCGCCAATTTTGGATGCAAGATGGACTACTAATGACAACAGGTAACCGTATCTTTGTACCTAGGGCTGGTGATTTGAGAAAGACACTTCTTAGAGAGTGCCATGATACACTTTGGGTAGGACATCCGGATTGGGAGCGAACATTGGCCTTGGTGAAGCAAGGATATTACTGGCCCCAGATGCGTGATGATGTAGAAGAATATGTCCGCACTTATCTAACTTGCCAGCAAGACGAGGTTGAACATAAGAAGAAAGCAGGTTTGCTTGAACCTTTGCCCATGCCTAAACGTCCGTGGGAAAGTGTATCACTTGACTTCATCACTGGACCACCTAAAGTGGGAGACATCGGGACTATCTTGACTATTGTGGACCGGTTCTCCAAGTATGCCACCTTTGTAGTTGCCCCAAAGTATGTTTCAGCGGAGGAGACTG